AACCTTCTGATTCAATGATTGTGTTGGGTGATTTTAATTTACCAAGCATATCATGGAACATCATTGACAATGATATCGTACCTTTCGCATCTAGTGCGTGCAACAACGTATTTTTAGAGGAGATGGCTGAACTCTGCCTAACTCAGGTTAATGTACTTCACAATAAGTTTGGTAAAGTATTAGATCTTGTTTATGTTGATGATGCAGCTAAGTCCGTTGTAAGTAAGCGTGTTCCACTAGTTTTGCCCGAAGATGTCTACCAACCTGCTATGGAGGTATCTTACGAAGTTATAAGTGATGGTCAAAATTGCAGTACCCAAGCATACGAAACAAATATTCGCTTTGATTTTTCGAAAGCCAACTTTAAAAAGCTTAACAAAGAACTGTCTAAATTGTCGTGGCCTGCATATAAAGAAAATATTGAACAAAGCGTTGCACTTTTTAACTTTGATTTACATAAAGCATGTGTCTAAACGCATATATCGAGCCCTAACCGCCAAAATAACGTAAGCGACATTTTTTTCAAAATTTTATTTTTGATGCAGAAATGCATCTAGACGATCTAGGAATTTTTCTGCATCAAAAAGAAATTTTTGAAAAAAATGTCGCTTACGTTATTTTGGCGGTTAGGGCTCGATATGTTCCTGCAAAACAGACACAGTTATGGTTCACTAAAGAACTGAGAAATGAGAAAAACAGAAAGTCGCGTTATTTTAGATTACAAAAACCGGTTTACACTCATACTATGTAAAATACTGACTTTTGCGTCATATGTTTTTTGAATTAAACAAAAAGTGTTATAAAGCTGACTTGTGTAAAATCAAACGGCGTATAATATATAACCCCAAATCATTTTATGACTTCGTAAACTCCAAGCGAAATATACGCGGGTTTCCTTCCGCCATGAAGTATCAAAATACCGTCTCTGGTGGTAATCAAACAATTTCTAACATGTTCGCTCAGTTTTTTAAATCCAATTATTCCATTAACTCACATGCTAACATTGACTATCCTTTTAAACTATGTCCAATGAACTCAATAAATATCCCAGTAATATCTCCCGATGATGTAGTAGTTTATCTGAAATCCTTAAAGCAGTCCTTCAGTTATGGTCCTGACAGATCCCTACTTGTATTGTTATAAATTGTGCTGATTATCTCTATGAGCCGTTAACAGCGTATTTAATTTATCTCTTAAAGAGGGCGTTTTTCCAACTATATGGAAGGAATCGTTCATAACCCCGTTACATAAAAGCGGTAGCAGATCTTCAGTGGAGAACTACCGGGGAATAGCTAAGCTTTCTGCAATTCCTAAATTATTTGAAGCAATTACAACAAATCAGTTGAGGCATTCTATCTCTTCTAGCATTTCATATAGTCAACATGGATTTTGCAAGGGCAAATCAACTTCTACAAATTTACTTGAATTAACATCCTATATCTCAAAAGCATTTAGTGAAAGCAAAACTGTTGATGTTATATATACTGACTTCAGTAAAGCATTTGACAAAGTGTGCCACTCGTTGCTCATCTATAAACTTGATCTTCTTGGTCTTCCACCTAATTTTCTACGTTGGATCTCTTCATACCTCTATGATAGATCACAAAGGGTAATGTTTAAAAATACTATCTCTGACGTCATTGATGTTACTTTAGGAGTCCCTCAAGGTAGCCACCTAGGCCCGGTTCTGTTCTTGCTTTTTATAAACGATATTTCTACAGATATACAATTTTCCAAAATTTTAATGTATGCAGATGATGTAAAGCTTTATAAATCGTACGTTTCAATTAAAGAAAGGTCTTTGCTACAATCAGACTTAAACAGCATGGCTTACTGGTGTCAAGTAAATCCTATGCCTCTAAATCTTAAGAAATGTAAAGTAATGTGCTTCTCGCGAAGAGCTGTTCATCCCGCTTCTTATACAATAGATAACCATAACCTGGAACAGGTATACAATTTTGTGGACCTTGTATCACAATGGATCCTAAGCTTAATTTTAATCTTCATATTAATGTGACAGTCAACAAGGCTAAAGGTGTACTTGCATTTGTGAAACGATGATCAAAAGAATTTTGTGACCCTTATATCACTAAAACCCTGTTTACAACATTAGTTAGGCCAAGGTATCAAATTTAAGCAGAAAAGATAGAATCAATTCAAAAACAATTCCTACTTTTTTGCATTAAGAAATTTTCGTTGGGATTTCAATATAACCTTCCACCTTATACGAGCCGGTTAAAACTTATTAATCTTCCTACACTTTCCAGCCGCAGGCAAATGCTTGGTACAGTTTTTATAGTTAAATTACTAACAGGCTCAATTTCAAGTCCACTTCTTCTGGGCGAAGTTAGCCCTAACGTTCCCTCCCGGGTATCAAGACACTTTTGTCCCCTATTTCTGAAAGCTTGTAAAACTAATTTTGAATTGCACGACCCACTCCGTTGCTTATGCCAGGATTTTAACTCTCATTCCAGCACGTTTGATACATCAGATCCGCTTTTCAGCATTAAGAAATCGATACTGTCCTCTCTCAATAAATGAATCATTAAAATAAAGACATAAAATCGGCTGATGAATTTAGTTCTGTAGCTGAACAGTTTTAGATCTCGACACTTAACAAACTCCTGCCTAACGTGACTCGGCGTAAAAATTGAAAATACTGGTTTCGTACGTCATGCGGACTGCGCCCCTCGCGCGGATGGGCGGGAATGGAGGGTAAAAACCGTTGGGATTATTATTATAAGTCTAAATCAGAATAGTTTTGGCCCAGTTATTCAAGTTTTTCGTAAAGCAATCTTTGAAAAGATTCCGTTGAAAAGATTTTTAAATATTTTTATGCAGATTTTTTAAGAAACTATGTTTATTCATAAAAGACTCCATTTTTTGAGGTATTTTTAAATCCGTTCAGCTCGCTGAAATCTTAATATTTTTCCGAAATATTTTGGTGGACGTCTTAAAATATAATAGATTTTGTAGGGGGGGAGGGGAGTGAAATAACGCAAATTTGTGTTATTTCCCAATTGAATGTGAAATAACACACGTTTGCTTTATTTCATTTCTCGTTGAGCAATAAGACCAACTTTTAAGCTTAGCAATTGAGTAATAAAGCAAAATAGTGCGCATATGTAGGTAGTCACCCAGTTACATTTGACAAAAAGTAGTACATGAACAAGTTAAATGGACGGATTTGTAAGTATACAATTCTGAAAGTGCCACTCCGTGCCACCCCACGCCGCGCCGCGTTCGACGTCGCCCCCTCCCCTCCTTTCGCAATTATGCACTGCTGTCATTATAACCGTTTAGAAAAAAGAATAATAATAAAATGACACTAGTTCACTTCTGAAACTGCTTACCAGCTGCCACTGCCTTATTTGAAAATTTGCCTATAAAATATGACTATTAGGCAGCCGAATGTCAGAAAATAAAGCGAGAAAGCCGTTTTATTATTTCATCTGTTTATTGCGACATCGTTCCATGCAAACATTTTAAGGTTTTCCAGCAATGTTTTTAACATATTAAAAAGCATGCAGTTATTAAAGACGATGCTTTCCCTATATTTTGTTAGACTTTTCATAAGTAAAAATATTTTGTGAATATTACTTTCTTCATATGAATTATATCACATTTTTTGTTTAATTCAAGGCCTATCAAACAGGTTTAGAGCATTTGAGCAAAAACAACATTTGTTGTTGCTTCTGGTATCGAAAGTGTCAAAAACTGTTTTGATTTTTTTCTTCTACATCAAAGCGTGCCATGTGAAATACAAAAAAGATACAAAACTTAAATTGAAAAAAACGAAAATTGTTGCAACTTTTGCTTGAAATGAAATATACGGCGAACGGCGAAGTTCGCCGAATTGGGCGATGCCGTCGTACACCGTTCGCCCTGCTTTTTCCATACAAAACCAGCGATTGAATAGCAGCTTTTGGAACGCTCGCCCAACTCAGCAGCACAACAGCTGATTACTGGGCCTGGCACAGGATGGATCAATGCTTCGGGAAGCAAACCAATTTACAAAGAAAGAAAGTTGCAACAATGGCACAGAAGCACGGATAATGACAACATCCGATGAGGCGGCTCTTGGAGTACTTGAGATTTTACGGAAGGTATTAAAGCTCAGTTAGTCTAGACTTAATTTCCGTAACTTTTTTTTGCCAACCTGTTATATGAGAAACTGTGTTGCGGGTAGTTAAAACTTAGCTAACCGTTAGCAACTTAAGAACCTGTAGATTTAAGATTCTTAAGTTACGGCCTTACGGAAATTGAGAGCGGTGAGAGAACATGCTTGTCAGATTTTCTTTTTTGTATTTCTCAAAAATAAATGAACGCATTGATGATTTCTTACGGTAAGTTACATTAAGTTAAGTCTAGACTAACTGAACTTTTACGGCACTTTACGCGTTGGCGACGGCGAGTACCGCAGACGATGGCACAGCTCAACAACAGGGCATAGCGCAGCTACTTAAAATACGGCGGCACAGCTGAGTTGGGCTTTTTCCTTCGAATGGACGGAAACGCTCCAGCGCTGAAAGTATTCACTTAGAAAACCCGCTGGTGGTAGCGGATGAAGAAGACGGACTTGGCTTCACTTGGCATTTCCAATTGGCGTCGGTAGGTACAGAAGAGAAACAACTTGCGAGCTTTGTTGAACTCGGCCAAAATCTCTTTGACGGTCTCCGCGCCAAACACAAATAAGAAGTAGAGCATATGGTCAACGCGGGCCAACTAGAAATTGGCATGCCTTATCCAAAAGACACAATGAAAATAAAAGAGGGAAAACTGTAGAAAATGGCGAAGCCACTGAAAACTTGGTTAGTCCAAATATGTTGGTTTAAATTTTGACAAAAATGGTATTCCGCGCTGTCATAGTACACTGCAAATATAGCATAGGGTTTTGTTGTTTCAAAACAGGCGTCGAGCACTTGATCCCCAAATTTCTAGTAGTTATGTACCTTAAAACGTTTATACCATAGGCAGTCACCGTAAATAATATTTTTTAGAATTGTGAACTTACTGTTGTTTTTTCGAGACATCTCAGAAGATGATGATGCTGTAATTCGAATATATCTTCATCGCGGTAGTTATCATCCAGCTCAATTCCTGACTCCTGCGCTGCCCACCGAGCTTCTGCAGCTTTTTTCTTGTTTACAAATGCAGCGCCGGATGAGGCCTTGGCAATTCGTATTCGTGCCAATCGGGCTTTCTGTAAGAGAGAAGCACAACAGAAAACAAATAACAAGTTTGCAAATTTTAAAGAAAAGGAAAAAACTTTAAAACCGAAGAAAATTATTCCGAGGCTGTTCTAAAAATTACTCTGGTTTACAGCAAAAATGTTCAATGGATGCCACTATGCAATGCTTATATGAAATCGCCCGCTCATACCGAAAGTCGAGATAATTTTTTATTCTATGGAGATTTTTGGAGATATTTCAATTTACCGTAATTCAGCTTAAAACAAACAAGTAAGAAAATCTAAGTTCGGGCGGAGCCGAACATTAAATACCCGGCACAGGTATCGCTACATGGTAAGCCGCTGTGTATAAATTTTGAGTAAATTAGCGTCCTTAAATTTCGAAATATTGAATTTTCAAGCATTTCTGAAATTTACCGTTATATGAAAAGTGGTCGTAATTTGAATCTGATTCCAATAATTTTCAACGTTTTGCTTCTATGGGGCAAGCACAATAATCATACCGAGTTTGGTACAAATTGGTAGAACGCTTACCGAGATACATATATGTGATCATAAGTGGGCGGTGCCACACCCATTTACAAAAATTTTATCATAAACGTATTTCTTGGTAAAGAATTGTTGCAAGCATCAATTTTGAGTAAATTAGCTTTAATATTTATTGATTTATCGAAGATTTCGTATTTCTCCAAATTACCGTTATATGGGAGGTAGGCGNGTTCCACTTAATTATGTATATCTTACGAACCAATCTAACAATCGTAATACGGCAAATGAGATACAACGAAATTCTCCATAAACCGTATATACACCACTTTTCGATAGGCCTGATAATTTCTCAGAGATTAATAAATCACTACAGTTTTTTTGTTTTTTGATGAAAAAATCAAACAAGTTCAAATTTTAACAGGGGAAAAATTAAAAAATTAAAGATTTTTTGTAATTTTTTATTTTGTATGAATGCCTGTTCCTTTACAAAAAAATTAAGCTACCAATGAAGAAAATCGATGGATAAATAAGAAATAAATGAGTGGTAAAATGAAAATGCGCAAGCATTTTTTGTATGAAATATTAACAGAAAAGAGACTTACTCAGGTGTACATCGCGTATGCGTAGCATTCTTTTGTTCTCATTTTTCATACAAAAAATCTATGCGCGTTTTCATTTGATCTCTCATTACTTTGTTATTTATCCATGGATTTTCTTCTTGCCGTTGCTTCTCTCTCTCTTTCTCTATCAACAGCAAATTTGATATGCTGCTACGTACGTCAATCTACGTTTACGCTACGTCCTTGACTTACTGCGCTTTTACCCATAGAATAAAAAATTAACTCCATTTTCGGAATCAGCGGGTTGTAAGTGGGGAATGGATAGGGGTATTCGTAGAACAAAAAGAAAACACTTATTTGTGATCCAGTGTTATTAGACAGAATAAATATCGCTTTCAATTTCGGTTGTGCCGAGCTGAATTTGAGATCAATCTAATGTAATATTAATATTAAGAGTATAGCGAAAATCTTCCTTCAAAGTATTTTGCAGCAGTGCTGCCAAAAGGACTACAAGGAGTTTCTACTACTAATTTACCTTACTCCCCCACAACTGATCATACAAATACTTTAAGTATAGTTAATATTTATTTTTATGAAAGTTTATAAATTAGCTCATGTACATCACATTGAACAAACAACTAATAAAAGTTAACAAGTAAGAAATTCTAAGTTCGGGCGGAGCCGAACATTAAATAACCGGCGCAATTATTAAATATATGTTTTCCACCTTTCCGAAAGCTACCGCTACACGATAAGCCGGGGCGTATTTATTTTAAGTAAATTAGCGTCCTTAAATTTCGAAATATTGCAGTTTCAAGCATTTCTGAAATATACCGTTATATGAAAAGCGGTCGTTATTTTAGTCGGATTTCAATAATTTTCAACGCTTTGCTTTTATGTGGCAAGCACAATAACCATACCGAGTTTGGTACAAATTGGTAGAACGGTTACCGATATACTTATATGTGATCATAAGTGGGCGGTGCCACGCCCATTTTCCAAAATTTTACCATAAACGTATTTCTTTGTAAAGAATTGTTGCAAGCATCAATTTTGAATAAATTAGCTTCAATATTTAATGATTTATCGAAGATTTTGTATTTCTCTAAATTACCGTTATATGGGATGTGGGCGTGGTTATTGTCCGATTTTAAAAAGTTTCGGCGGTTTTGTATGCTGTACCAAGGCCAACAACTGTGCCAAGTTTGGAAGAAATTGGTGCAGCGGTTACCAAGATATACACATGTAACCATAAGTGGGCGTGGCTACGCCCATTTTCCAAAAATTTATAATATTCTTATTTTTCGTCTAAAACTCATTGTAAATATCAATTTTGAGTGAATTATCTTCAGTAGTTACTAAAATATCGCAGTTTTCGTATTTCTTAAAATTACCGTTATATGGGAGGTAGGCGTGGTTATTATCCGATTTCGCCCATTTTCAATACCATCCGTCCCACGCCCAAAAGAAGTTCACGTACCAAGTTTCGTTAAGATATCTCAATTTTTACTCGAGTTATCGTGTGCACAGACGGACGGACGGACGGACGGACAGACAGTCACCGCTTAATCGATTTCTCTTTTCATTCTGATCATTTATGTATACATTTGTCTATATCTATCTCGATTCGTTTTGCCTGTTACAAACAACCGTTATGTGAACAAAGTTATAATACCCTTGTGCACAAGTGCGCTCGGGTATTAAAAGCCTAAATACAAGGGACACAAAATAACGTGTAATGCAGGAGATAGCAAGGCCACGTGGAAACACCTGAAAAATTGCATATCGATCTAAAGTAGGGCTGCCAAACGTCCTGGGGTTCCAGGATCTGTCCTGATTTAAACAAATTGTCCTGGTGTCCTGGTCCACGCTTAAATTGTCCTGATTTTTCAATGAAGGTCGATGCAGACACCTGTTTAATTTTTACCTTATAAGTAGGCGAAAATCGATAATGAAAAATGTTTTCTAACATGTTGAACAATATCTGATGAATTTACCTTCTTTCTGTTTAGTTTATTTGGTTAAAATCTAATTTTGTATCTTCAGGAAAATGCCAAAAAAGTGCAATTTCCTGAACAGGTTCACGGCTGAGAGGCTACACATACTACGCAGTAGATAACTTCAGGAGTTAAAATCTCTCCCAAAAGGCCTTTCTGAAAGTCATTCCTTTCTCCTTCCTTTCTGCTTTCGCTACTCAAAGGAGAGCTTTCAGAAGGACTTTTGTAGGACGTACTTCAGAAGGCCTTTAGAAGTAGTTCTTTTAAAGCTGTTTTTAGTTCATAAAAATCATACCTCATCAAGGAATTTAAATATTTAGATCAAATATATTTTATTGAGACTTAAAATGCTTATTGAATTCTATTTATAATGCTAAATAATATAAACATATACTTAAGTACATGCAGGGAGCACTTTTTTCAGTCCTTATTGGGTAAGTCTTTTAGAATGGCTTCACTTCAGACAGCCTACCTAAATTATCTTTAGGTTATGTAAATACACAATGGCAAAAATGATCATGAAGCGCATTGTAGTATGTGTGGAAATTTGTTAATGGTTGTAAGGCAAGCATTCAAGACCACGTTAAAAGCCCCAAACATTTTACCAAGTTACGTCACCGTCAAGAGAAATTTGTTCTTTTATGATTAAAAAAAGTTCAGAACTTCGTCATTATTAATCATTCAGCTCGACGGATTGTGCCCCAAAACTACATTGCTTTTAATATCAGAAACTGCTTAAAAATAATGCAACGCCAGAACCAAAGAAACTGTATTTATAGGGAATACATGTCTTGGTCGATGGGTTCATGATTATGGCAGCCGTAATCTAAACAAAATAGTGTCATTAAGAAAATACTAATAAATTACCAACTTTTCACACATGAAAGTGAAATAGCACATTCACTTAATAACTACATACTTCATTGATAGTGTGATGGAAATCAGGTGAAATAATGTCATTTGGTAATAGAGCCCTTAACTTTAAATTTCAAAGCGTATCAACGAATGACATCCTAGATATAGCTAGCAAATTCAAAAATAAGAAACTATTATCCGAAGGAGTCATTAAAGACTCTATTACTTATACTGGGTATTTTTACACTCGAATTTTAACGAATGTCTAGAGAAAGGTGGAGAAAACAAAAAATACTATTAAAGCTGGCGAGAACTGACATTGCCGTGTGATGAAAAGATACTTGAAACAGTTGTTAAAAATCAACTTGTACAATATTTGCAAAATAACCAGCCACATTGCGAGAGTCGTGCCGAATGCAAGTCGTTTTTCGAGAGTCGAATCGTATCGAAAATTTAGCGTCATTGCCTAAAATTTCCACTCGACTAGTGTATTAAAATGGAAGAACTTGGCAGCACTGCATAGTTTTCGACAATTTTCGTCGTTTACTTATTTCAGCACGAAAGTAGACAATGCTAATGTTGTCGAGTCGTACAATTCAGCCTAATTTACGACTTACGCAATGAGGCTGAATATGTTTATTATACCACAACAATCAGGTTTCCGTAAAAGGCATTCCTGTGGTAGTGCTTTGAACCTGGTCATTGCTAAGGAAGGAAGGAAGACCTGAACAGGAATAAACATATAATAGCTGTATTCTTAGATTTAAAACAAGCCTTTGAGACCATGGACCAAAAACTGTTACAAAAATGTTATTCAATGTAGGCGTAAATGGTATCGAACTAAAGTTGTTTGAAAACTTCATTACGAATCGATATCAAAGAACTGCGATTGGGTCATCAATATCCGATGAAAGAAGTGTATCAGTCGGACTGCCTCAAGGATCTGTGCTAGCTCCAATTTTGTTCAATATATATATCAATGACAATATCAATTGCATAAAGTATTGCGATATTAAACTATTTCCTGATGATACGTTGCTTATGCTAAGTGGATAAAATATAGATGGAGTAGCCTCTAAATTGCAAGATGACTTAAATAAAGTATACGATT